TTATTATTATTATTATTATTATTATTATTATTATTATTATTATTATTATTATTATTATTATTATTATTGACTCCTGAAAACAATATTGGTTTTCTTTTACAAGAAGTTTGAACCATGAAAACAAAATTGTGAATGTCTCCTTTGTAATGTATGATATGCTAGGAGTCTAATTATGGGGATCATAAAAGAAGAGCTACCATCCTTTCCCCCAATGAACGTGATAGATTGCAAAACCAGACTAGTTGCCCTAAATGTTTATTGTACTGCACTTTCCTGAAAAGTTGTGAAGTAGTTATCTGAGAGAGAGTTACTAACCTGTATTATTATCTAGAAATGGAAACGTGAGAACATACTCAAATGCCTTTGGCTCCGGGGTGGGCTACTGGGGGCTTGCAGGCATTCGGGAGAGTCCCTAACTAAGATTCTGTGCAGTTTGGAGAACCCCCAAATCCCACTCCTGGCTGGCCCCGCCCACCCCGCCCCACCCCTCCCAGGTGTCTCCATGCGGCCCGTTTTGGATTCAGGTAAGTGGAGGGCGTGCAGGGAGGCTCGGGGAGGGTGAAAAACGGGCCTCCCAGAAGTTCAGGAAGGCCGGAAATCAGCCCATTTCTGGCTTCCAGAGAGACTCAGGAGCCCGGGGAGGTTGCTTTCTCCCTCCCAGGGGCTCGAGCAAAGCCTCCGGAGTCTGGGGTGGGCAAAACTGCACCCCCTGCCATGCTGCAGGAGGCCGATGAGGCCACGCCCACCATGGCCACACCCACTCAGCAACCGAGCAGCGATCCCATTGCTAAAATTTTTGAAGCCCACCCTTGCTTAGGCTAAATCACACTGTAGAACCTGCTCTCTCTCAAACTGAATCTTGCTCATCACTGGATCTTTCATGCTCAACTGGAAATGTACGGATAGCCCACTGTACGTGTGTGGCACGGGTTCCACCAATGAGGCCTTCCCTCCCTCTATGAAGCAATGAAGAGGACAAGTCTTTCCCAACCCATTATACCCTCCAAACAGGTCAATAGGGCCGTTGAGGGTCAACAGTTGGCCAACTGGAAGACACGGATGTTGCATTCCTCCAACTATTTTTTTTCAGGCTCTTAAATCTCCATCGGGGAGGTCTCCTCCCGAGCTCAAACTTTGTCTCTTTTTTGAGGAAAAGAAAAGAGCAGCAAGCTGGCATCTTCCAAAATTTCGTTGCAAGACTCAGTGGGAGCCAAGGCCTCCTGCCAGAGTGCTGTCTTTTAATAGGGTTATTATACATTACCCTTTTCATCGCTGGGTTACCCTATGAAAGAGGTGGGAGGCACTAGAATGGTTGCACAAGTTTTTTTTTCGGCTTGTACACAGGCTAAATTCGTGCAGATTCCTGAACTGGTATTTTTTTTTTCCCCCCCTCCCAAGTCCTAATGAGGCCATTATTGTTCTGCTGGCAACAAGGAAAGAGAGTAAGAATGAAATGGTAGGGAACAGGAGGGGGTACATGGAAACGGGGAAGAGAATGTACCATTAATTTAGGTTAAATGAAGGAGGGAGAAGTACGGGAAGGGAGGAACTCAACGAGGAAGCAACTGTGATTGGGTTTACACACCACTACACCATAATACGGCATGGCTTGGGGCTTTAAATGCCATGCTCTATAAAGCAGGCTTTGTCATTTTGAATAAGGTGAAACCAAACGTTGTGGTAGTTCCGAGAAGTAATTTCTTAGACCAGGCTAGAAACTGGGAGGCTGGGAGTTCTAGTCCTGCCTTGGGCTTAAAAGCCAGCTGGGTGACTTTGGGGCCAATC